AGCGCGCGAGCGCGCGGTGGCGACTGCACGCCGCACGGCGGCCCGTCGTTCGGAGCGCGAACCGAGAGGATCCTGGCGGCGAGCTCTTCCCAGGCATGGTCGCGTCGTGAGAAAGAATCGGGGCGGGGAGGTTTTTGGCCAGTTTCGGCCTCGGGGGGCCCTCGCCGGGCCTCGGGACCGTCAAGAAACGCTTGGGGATGGAAAGCCAGCCTCTCGGCAAGGGCCGGGACGTCCAGGGGCCCCGAATGGAACAAATCAGGACGTCGCACGTCTGGGAAGAAGAGATTGGATTCCATCCGGCTCTGGCACTCTCACCGGCACGCAGAAGGGGAGGCGCTCGACAAGCTCTCCTCACCGAGCGCGTTCCACTACTCACAAAGGGCCTACTCGCAAACGTCCGAAAAACACATGTCTGCCTTTGTGCAACGTATCGTAAATCCCCTGTGGCGGATCCAGGCCGTTTGCGAGTAGCTGCTGTGCGAGTAGTGAAACGCGCTTGTCTACATTCCCAGGCCGAAAGTTTTTTCCTCTTGGATTAAAAATATGAGAACACCAATGGATCCAATTGGATCCCTTTTCGAGTGTGGGAGAGTTTCGTGGGGCTCAAGAGGCAAATCTTTCGGCATGCGTAAGTATCTCCCGTTCGGAGGAAGTCCCCGAATCACGCAGGCGGAGGTCAGTTGCACGCTTTCTCAGCCCGGGGGCCAAGCTTATGGCAGGAGGGCCCCGTGGGATCCGCAGAAACCGCTCCACGGCGGGACGCCCGCACAGTCGCCAGGGTCGAGAGAGCTTCAGGGCCCCACGCGCTGAAGAAGCCAGCAAGTCGGAGGTCTGGGGAGGGGGAGGAGGGGGAGGAGGAGGAAGGGGAGGAGGGGAGGAGGGGAGGAGGAGGAAAGAGGAGGAGGAGGCGGAGGAGGAGGAGGAGGAGGAGGAGGAGGAGGAGGAGAGGAGGAGGGGGAGGGGGGAGGGGGAGGGGGAGGGGGAGGGGGAGGGGGGGGGAGGGGGGGAGGAGGAGGAGGAGGAGGAGGAGGAGGAGGGAGGAGGAGGAGGAGGAGGAGGAGGACTGCCCAAGGGTTACCCCAAGCCGACGCAGTCGGAAACGCCTCTGGAAAGGGGCTCACTTAAGAGGCCTGCCTTTGGAGAGCCGTTGGAGGACCCGCTGACCCATCTAAGTGGGGAGCTCGCCCCTCACACACACAGCCACACTTCGTGCACACCCAATATGGCTCGTAAAACGTCATCGCATGGGTCCAGTGGACAACGCGCGAGCCAACAGCAACGCACGAGTGGGTGGATGGCTGGGGCGGGGGTGGGCCAGGACACTCGGTACTAAGCCAGTTCTGCAACATTCTCGAGGCTGTGCTCACATTGCTCCGGCAAGCAGAACACGCAAGTCTGGCCCGACCGTCGAGCGTCAAACTGTGGGAGGTGACTGCCTGGGCTCTGCCGAGTGCGGATGGCCTCAACCTGCGCAAGTGTCCAGGTTCCTCACGCAAGGTCCGGGCCGATCTCTCCTCAGACTGGAATGCCAAGAGCGTCGCTCGTGCTATTTTAAGACGGATCAGCGACAGCACTGAAGTGGCCCATGTGTAACAATCGAGCTGTTTTTTTGGCAAGGCGTGCAGGGCGGCGGCCGTTGCCGCCATCTCGTCTGCTATCGGGTTCCCGAGCCAGGCCATCGGGGGGACCCTTTCGGGCCAGGGCCACCTCGGGGGCCAGGTGACTGTTGAGAAGCTTAACGAAGACAACCTGCTGGCCCCTAGCCTCCAGAGCACTGCCTAGGGCCTCCCACAGATCTCCGTTGACAAGACCAGCCTGCGGGTCGCAACTGGAGTATTGACTGCAAGACGGTGGCGGCAAGGAAATGGTAAGATGGCGCGCGGCTGCGAGGACGGAAGGCGAGGGTATGGAGGAGGAGGAGGAGGAGGAGGAGGAAGAGGAAGAGGAGGAGGAGGAGGAGGAGGAGGAGGAGGAGGAGGAGAGAGACGGAGGGAGGGGGAGGAGGGAGGGAAGAGGAGGAGGAGTAGGATTGTGGGCATGGGTTCCTCCTCTCCCTCCTCATCAGCCAAGCCTGCTGGTGGCCAGGCGCTGGGATGGAGAATCCGCTGTGGCTCGTTTCTCATACGGGGGGCCTGGAACTTGTGGTGAGGAAGTGAGCAGCAGTAACGAAAGTAAGTTCGCACAGTAGCAGCAGTTGAGTGATGTGGACAGACCTGTTTTGGCACGCTCGGCCTCCTCCTCGTCCTCCTCTTCTTCCTCCTCCCCCTCCGTCGTCCTTGTTTCACCGCGGATGCCGCTATTCGGTAGGCGCACGGTGTGCTGTCACGGCACGGATTCCGATGAAGATGATGATGTTTATTTCATATGGGTGGTGATGGGGGTGATGGTGATGATGATGGTGGTGGTGATTGTGATATTGATGTTGATATAGTTGATGTTGTTGGTGATGGTGATGATGGTGATGATGGTGATGATGATGCTGATGCTGATGTTGCTGATGATGAGGTTGAGGATGATGATGATGCGGGTAGTCGTGATGGGAATGGTAATGGTGAAAATGCTTGATGGTTGGTGAGTGGTGGTTGGTGAACGTTGAGTGTGGCTCGTGCTACATGCTGGAACGATGATGAACGAATGTGAGGATGGATAGATGGGTGGATCGTTTTACGGAATAGATTGGTGGTGATGTTGATGGTGACGATGATGGTGATGGTGTTGGTGATGGCGTTGGCGATGATGTTGATGGCAGTAATGACAAGGGGCACGTGTGCTATGGCTCTTGCACAAAAAGGAAGGGGGAGGAGGAGGAGGAGGAGGAGGAGGAGGTGGAGGAGGAGGGGAGAAGAGGGGGCAAGACATCGCCCCTCGGGGCCCAGCAACGGGGCCCAAATCCCAGGTGGGGAGGGGGGGAGGTGGTGTGCGTCGCGACGCGGAACAACGTGCTCGGAGCGGAGGGGGCACGGGGCGGAGGTCTCATGGGGGCGCTGGGGGACAGGGGGGAGAGGGGGGAGGTGGTGTGCGTCGCGACGCGGAATACAACTGTCGGGGCGGAGGGGGCACGGGGCGGAGCCCCCATTGGGGCGCTGGGGACGCGTTGAGGGAGGTGCGGGAGGTGGTGTGCGTCGCGACGCGGAATAAAGCGTCCGTGGCGGAGGGGGGCAGTGGGCGGGGCTCCCGCTGGGGCGCTGGGGACGCGGGGGGCGCTCGGGGCAGAGAGCCACGGTGCAGGGGTCCCACTCTGGCGTTGGGGAGGGGCTGGGGACGGACGGGGGGGGGGGGGGCGACGCGGAATAAAGCGTCCGTGGCGGAGGGGGCAGTGGGCGGGGCTCCCGCTGGGGCGCTGGGGACGCGGGGGGGCTCGGGGCAGAGAGCCACGGCGCGGGGGTCCCACTCTGGCGCTGGGGACGCGTGGGGGGGGGAGAATAAAGCGTTCGTGGCCCCGCTGGGGCGCTGGGACGTGGGGGCGCTCGGGGCTCAGAGCCACGGCGCGGGGGTCCCACCCTGGCGCTAGGGACGCGGTGTGTGTGTGTGTGTTGTGTGTTGTGTGTTGTGTGTTGTGTGTTGTGTGTTGTGTGTTGTGTGTTGTGTGTTGTGTGTTGTGTGTTGTGTGTTGTGTGTGTGTTGTGTGTTGTGTGTTGTGTGTTGTGTGTTGTGTGTGTGTGTGTGTGTTGTGTGTTGTGTGTTGTGTGTTGTGTGTTGTGTGTTGTGTGTCGTGTGTCGTGTGTCGTGTGTCGTGTGTCGTGTGTCGTGTGTCGTGTGTCGTGTGTCGTGTGTCGTGTGTCGTGTGTCGGGTGTCGTGTGTCGTGTGTCGTGTGTCGTGTGTCGTGTGTCGTGTGTCGTGTGTCGTGTGTCGTGTGTCGTGTGTCGTGTGTCGTGTGTCGTGTGTCGTGTGTCGTGTGTCGTGTGTCGTGTGTCGTGTGTCGTGTGTCGTGTGTGTGTGTTGGGTCGTGTGTCGTGTGTCGTGTGTCGTGTGTCGTGTGTCGTGTGTCGTGTGTTGTGTGTTGTGTGTTGTGTGTTGTGTGTTGTGTGTTGTGTGTTGTGTGTTGCGTGTTGCGTGTTGTGTGTTGTGTGTTGTGTGTTGTGTGTTGTGTGTTGTGTGGTGTGTGTTGTGTGTTGTGTGTTGTGTGTTGTGTGTTGTGTGTTGTGTGTTGTGTGTTGTGTGTTGTGTGGTGTGTGGTGTGTGCGTGTGCGTGTGCGTGCGTGCGGCCGGCGTGCGTGCGTGCGTGCGTGCGTGCGTGCGTGCGTGCGTGCGTGCGTGCGTGCGTGCGTGCGTGCGTGTGTGTGTGTGTGTGTGCGACGCGGGATAAAGCGTTCGTGGCGGAGGGGGGCAGTGGGCGGGGCTCCCGCTGGGGCGCTGGGGACGCGGGGGGGCTCGGGGCAGAGAGCCACGGCGCGGGGGTCCCACTCTGGCGCTGGGGACGCGGGGGGGGGGACGCGGAATAAAGTAGTCGGAGCTCTAGACACCCTGCGCAAGATGATAATAGTGTTGTTGCTGATGATGATGATGATGATGATGATGATGATGATGGTGGTGATGAGGGTGATGATGATGATGATGGTGATGGTGATGGTGATGGTGATGGTGATGGTGATGGTGATGGTGATGGTGATGGTGATGATGATGGTGATGATTATGATGATGATGATGATGATGATGATGATGATGATGGTGATGATGATGATGATACTGATGATGATGGTGATGATGATGATGTTGATGATGAGGATGAGGATGAGGATGAGGATGAGGATGATGCTGATGATGATGATGATGAGTATGGTGAGTATGATGAGTATGATGAGTATGATTATGAGGATTGCACGCGTATGAGTTGTTGCTGGTGCTGATGATGGCGACGGTGATGGCGATGGTGATGGTGATGGTGACGGTGATGGTGATGGTGATGGTGATGGTGATGGTGATGGTGATGGTGGTGGTGATGGTGACTGCGTTTCTCCCCTCCTCTTGGCAGCCCCTCCTGGCCCTCCGCCCCGAACAGGCCCCCGCTCCCCCGCCGCGATGTCCGGGTCATACAGCCCGACCTTCTTCATGCACTTCCCCAAGTACCACGCGCCGCACCTGAAGCCCGGGGAGGAGGCGAAGGACCCAGGCCTCGCCGAAGGGGGAGGAGGGAGGAGGGAGGATAGGCAACGGGGGAGGAGAGCGCGGAGGAGGAGGGAGGAGGGCCCTGCCAGCCCTCAGCTCGTGGCGAGGAAGACAGCGACGTAGGGTTTCGGGGTAGTTGTTGCTTCTTTCGGGGGGGCCTTACCACCCGGGCCGCGGGAATGTTAACATACGGCTCGAGATGAACACGATCCCCATGACCAGACCTCAGAGGCTAACGCGAACAAACACGACACCGAGGTTGTTGTTTGATTTTGTTGGGTCCTTCGTGAGCTTCCGATTGGCTCGCCTCCGGAGGCCTCCGAAGGAGACGTCTGGAGTCGTCTGAAGATGGGGGAGGAGAAGGAGGAGGAGGAGCAGCAGCAGCAGCAGCAGCAACAGCAGCAGAAGCAAAACACATTGGTTTGGGACTTTCTTCCCCAGCACCATCACCACACTGTCATCAAGCCATTTCAAGTTTTCAAAGCCCCGGGAGGGCCCGCTGCGCATGTGGTGGCGGTCTCAATGCCGTTTGGACTCCAACTTTCTCGAGCTCACTTCTAGCGGAGGCCCTGCGCAGGAAGCCCATAGGTACGGTAGGTTCGGGTCGTGTCGACGCGGCGGCGAGCCCATTGTGCAGGCAGTCAATGTTGAACGCCGCCAGCAGCCTCGAATCAGCCCAAGTCGAACGGTCCGTGCTATCGGGAAACCGCGGTCGCTCAATGTTGAAGGATCCACGCGGTGTCAGAAAAAACAGCGCCGAAGTCACGACGACACGAACTTGCCGTAGCAGGGTGCTCACAGTCACGACGCCGAGGGCTCGCCCTGACGGTCCCGGGATGCCAAGTCGCATAGAAACATACGGGACGGCTCTCTGGAGCGGATTTGCTCGGGTGGCACTCGACTGCCTCAGAGATCCCAGGGGGTCCCAGGAAGGTCCAGGAAGCTCGGGAGGTCGAAGGAGGCCCTAAAAAGCCCCAGGCGACTTCAGGAGGCCCCAGGAGGCCCCAGGGGGTCTCAGGAAGCTCCAGGAGATCCCAGGAGGCCGCGGGAGTATCCAAATTGCCCCAGGAGGTTCCATGAGGACCCTGGAGGTTCCAGGAGGCACCAGGAAGCTCCAGGAGGCCCAGGAGGCCCCAAAAAGGCTCCAGGAGGCCCCATCAGGCCCCTGCAAGTCCCAGACGGCTCCAGGAGGTCCCTTGGTCCATCGCGCGGGAGGAAGGGAGGGGGATGCCCCAGGAGGCCCAGGAGGAGGAGGAGGAGGAGGAGGAGGAGGAAGAAGAAGAAGAATAATAATGAGAAGAATAACAAAAAAGAGAAAGAGAAAAGGGAAGAGTCACGAGGACGAACAGAAGGAGTAGGTATATGACCAGCAGGAGACCGAGGAGGAGGAGGAGGAGGAGGAGGAGGAGGAGGGAAAGAGGAGAGGAGGAGGAGGGAGGAGGAGGAGGAGGAGGGATGGACGCAGGGGAGGGAGGAAGGGAGAGGGGGATGGATAGAGGCTGGGGGGGGGAGAAACAGATGAAGGAAAGAGGAGGAGGAGGAGGAGGAGGAGGAGGAGGAGGGAGGAGGAGGAGGAGGAGGAGCAGGGAGGAGGAGGAGGAGGAGGAGGAGGAGGAGGAGGAGGAGGAACCAGAGGAAGCAGAAGAGGAGGAGGAGGAGGAGGAGGAGGAGGAGGAGGAGGAGGAGGGTGAGGCCAGTGAGACGGCCGAGGGGAGCAGGAAGCAGGAGCCGGAGGAGCATCTCATGCTTGAAGGCGGCGAAAAGGAACGACGTGTTAGCACGAACAGCACAGCGTGATGGGAGAGCAGGCCGGCAATGAGCACAGAGGACAGCACCTCTGATCGCACCGGTTTGCGACGTTTCGGCTCAGAGCCGTGTGAGCCTTCCGGAGTCTTCTTGACAGCCTCAGAGGGAGACCTCCGGAGGCCTCCGCCCACCTCGCTCGACGTCTGGGCCATGGGCCTCTCGCGTCGCGTGCGCTTCAGCCCCGGCATTGCCCCGTGCGTTTGGCCTCACATCTTGGGGGGTCGTCGGCGGACCCACGGGCGAGAGGACGCGAGAGGAGGAGGGAGCAGCACGACGCTACGCAGAGCCCTGCGTCCGATTGGTTCCTGCCCCCGCGAGGGGCGTTTGCGGGGAAAGGAAAGGACCGCTCGGTGCTCGGGAGAGGCTCTGGACCTCGGGTGGGGAGCCTCTCCGTGGCCGAGGCTCGCCGCGGCCAGAAATACACCTTTGCTCCGAGCGATCCCCACCGAAGCCAAGGGCTCCCCCGAGGGCGCGAAGTTATTCGCGCTTCGCGGTCCTCGTTTCTCCTCCCCCTCCTCCTCGTCCTCCTTTTCTCCCTTTGGGGGGGCGGCGCGAGAGCGCGAAGTTATTCGCGCTTCGCGCTTCGCGGAGCGCGAAGTGCGAAGTTGGGAGCCCTAGGAAGCCTTTGGCGTTTGATCCCGAAGGCGCGCGCGCCCCTTCTGGTGTGCTGTGAGGCGTGGTGCGTCATCGTATGCTCCGTCACGTCGTGTTGTGAGGCGTGGTGCTATGCGGCGTTCGGCGTGCCCGAGTCCGCCACAGCTCCTGCTGTTCTATTGTGCCATGCTGTGCCATGTCTCGCCATGCCCGTGTCGGCTCCTCGCCTGGCGTCCCCCCTTGCTGCAGGGACGGCGCCGAAGCGGGGACCGAGCGTCGGCCTCCCGAGGGTCTCCGGTCGCCCGGCCGCTCGTCGGCTCTGGGCCGGGGAGCCTCTCCGCGGCCGAGGTCCGGCTCGCAGTGGCCAGGCTTCGGAGAAGAAACATCCACATACATACATACATACATACATACATACATACATACATACATACATGCATGCATGCATGCATGCATGCATACATACATACATACATACATACATACATACATACATACATACATACATACATACATACATACATACATACATATATATATAGGGGGGGGGGGGGCCAAAGAATGTGCACCACCACCGCGTCGACTCCTCCTCGCTCCTCTGTCCAGCGAGGGGGAGGGGGGGAGGGAGGTGGTGGTGTTGTATATTTTTGGGCCCCCCAATAAACGCAAACTGTTTGGCGCTGCGCGCGGATTGCTTGGATCGGCGCTGGGGGCCCCCCTCTGGCGGCGCCTGCGACGCCGCCCCTGGCGCGCTCCGCGCGCCAGGGAGAGGGGGGCCCGGCGCGGATCCAGGAAATCCGCGCGGATCACCAAAAGTTTATGTTTTGTGTCGAGCTTCCTGCTTTCAGGACTGTCCCATGGCTCTTCGCCTTCCCAGTCCCAGGCGTCCTCCGAGCCCCGGAGGCTGAAACATCGAGTAAAATTGGCCAGAGTGAGAGATATTCGGACCCGATGCTGCACCTGCAACATCGCGAAGAATCACGATCAGAGCCCTGGAATTCCATCTGCTGCATTTTTCGAGCCGGATCGATGTGTGATGACACCAGGCGAGCCAGGCGAGGCTCCCCGTTGCCAAAAAAATGCAACGGCCGGACCGCAGGGGAATCAGATCGGCGGAGATTTTTGTGACTGCACACCGCGGCCCGGGAAGAGGAGGAGTCGCTGGGAAGCATTCGCATCGATGCCCTCCTCGCGTCGACCGATCACCGCGCATCGCAGCACCTCGGTGAGGGTCGAAACCAACCCCGAGGCCCAGGAAGCACAGGACCTGTCTCGAACTCTCAGGCGCACCACACGCCAGATCTGACTTCAAGACCTCCTGCTGCGATTCCTCAGGCTGGGGACCTCCGATCAGCGCGCCGTGCGGAGCAGCCATCTCGGGTCAACCGAGGCTCGAGCCCGCTGCGCCGCGGGGTGCGGGGCGCCCACAGCCACAGGAGAGGCCGGCGCGAAGGGGGGAGGCAGCTCGGCCAGCCGCCTCCGTGCTCTGTCCGCCGCCTCTGCCTCGGGCACTCCCCGGGTCGCCGACGGAGCGAGGTTTCCGATCCATGCGTTGGTCCTCGATGTCGGCCTTCTCGAGCAGTGGCGAAGGGTCCTGGTTTGCCTACACATTTTGTTCATGTCTCATTCTTCGCAGGTTCGTTGATCTTTGGGGGGGCCAAGATCCTTTCATTTCTGATTGTTCTATGCTGGGCCTCTTCCTGGCCACCAGGGGGCCAGGAGCAATTAGAAACGAGCACGATAAGAAATGAGCACGATTAGAAATGAACGACACGTAGAGGCCCACCCAGGAATGTGCTAAGAGCCTGTTGTGGTCTGCACTGAGTGTTCATCGAGCATGCCTGGCTGAGACTGTCTTGATTTGACACATTGGCTTTGATGCCCTAAGCACACTATTTTTTTCTAGGACTCCTAGATGGGGTCCGAGTAGATGGGGTCGGAGGATCGCGCCGCATCGCCGATGCATCGGCGATGCGGCTCGATGCTGAGCCCGTTTATGTCCACGCCGACGTCGCCGATGCGTCGCTGGCGTCGGCGATGCATTGCCGGTGCATCGCCGATACATCGCCGATGTATCATCGATGCGACGCCATCCTTCGACCCCATCTACTCCGACCCCATCTAGGAGGCCTCTATTTTTTGCTACTCGAGCAGTTTATAGTTTCTAAGAGCAGTGCGTAGTCGGCCTCTTGGAATGCCGGGGCGGTCCTGCTCAACCTCCGGGGCCCGCTGTCGGGCCCGGGGCCATCAAGAACGGTGCTGGGGCGACAAAGGTGCCCTCCGGGGAGGAGCTCGGGGCCTCCTCCTCCTCCTCCTCCTCCTCCTCCTCCTCCTCCTCCTCCTCCTCCTCCTCCTCTGGAGACCCGCGCACTGAAAACAGATCAGGGCCCCCCGAAGCTTGACATCGATCATCAAAACTCGGAATCCGCCACCCAGAAAGAGAGAGAGAGAGAGAGAGCGGACCATGCAGAATGGTTCGGCCTGTGCGGCTGCAGCTTTCTCGGGCGCGCCCACGCCCTGGTCGATGGCCAAGGCCCCCCCCCTGAGAGTCCCGACGTCGGCTGCCCGGGTCCTCCCTCCTCCGCCCTCCGCCTCCGCCTCCGAGGCCCCCCTCAGGCGCGAAGCCAAGAGGGCGAGGCGCACAGGCGGCGAGCGCCATGGGTGAGGAGCCTTTCCTTTGCAGTGTGCTTTGAGGCAGGACCCCCCCAGCCCCCTGCCTTGCTTCCCTTTACAAGATGGGAATGGTAGGCTCAGCGATGGACACGAGAGCTCGCGGGCTTCCCGCCACGCCTGCGTCCCACCTCCGCCCTCCGCCTCCGCCTCCTCACGCGCTCGTGCGGCCGCGTGGCGGCGAGAGCGTTCCCTACCCCGCCCCGCCCACCACCCCGCGATGCGCCGGTGCCGCGGGCGAGCGGCGGCCGGGGAGCGCGCGCTGCCGCAAGTCGGGCATGTCCTTGTACAGGAGGACAAAAATAGTCAAATAATAGTCTGGAGACGATCTTCTGATTATTTTGGACTATTTTTTTCATTGTTGTTTGCCCATGCATCATCTTTCCTTCTTCCAAAACCCGCCTGCAGGAGGACATGCCCGACCTCAGGCGTCGTTCCCCCCCTCCCCCCGAGGCGACGAGATGCGGCCGAAGTGCTTGGCGGCGTGCAGCTCGTGGCTCACGGAGTACAACTCCTGCGTCCAGCGCATCTCCATGCGCACGGACGGCAAGGGTGACTGCAAGGCCTGGGGGACATGCGTGCCACCATCGTCCCAGACATGATCGCGTCGTAAAGAAATCAAGACGGGAGGTTTTTGGCCAATTTCGGCCTCGGGAGGCCCTCGCCGGGCCTCGGGACCGTCAAACATCGACTCTGGATGAAAATTGGTCCCATGGAAAGGGTCATGACTTCCGAGGGCCCCGCATTGAAAAAATCAGGACGCCGCATGCATGGGCTTGACACTGGAAGCGGAGAGGCGTTTGGTTGGCCCTGTCGGCCTCCAGGGGCCCACTTCGCGAGGCCCAGGAAACGCGATAGAACCGACTCTGGGCGAAAAGCCGGCCCTGGGAAGATCTTGAGATCCGGCGCTGCAGCAACAAATGCGACGTCGCGAAAAAACACGACCAGAGCGCTGGGCCACATCTTTCTGCGGCATATTTTCGAGCTGGATCGATCTGTGATGGCCCCAGGACTCGAAGCTAGGCGAGGATTCCCGTTGTGGGGAAATTGCAACGCCCAGGCCTCAGGGAAGGGCCGGGACTTCCGGGGGCCCCGTACTCGGATCACCGCGGGGGGTGCTAAGTGGATAATGGGGTGCAAGTGAAGGGTGAGTTGGATCTCGCCGAATCTAGCCTAGAGGTGATCTACAAGTGCCATCTGTGGCATCGGGGGATTAGAGAACTCCGCTAAGTGGGCGGCCCTCACTTGGACCGGATATTGACCCCCCTAGCCGATCCAGGAAGCGTGCAACCCACTCAGAAGCTAGTTCAGGCCAGATACAACCCATCTCAACGTCCAGATGCAACCCCCGATCCACCTAGCACCCCCCGCGTCGACCCCAGCAGTGAAAAGATCAAGGCATCGGATCTCTGGTTGGGCAGGGAGGGCGCGGAGGAGAGCTCCCGAGGGCGAGCGGGGTCTGGCGGGCCGGGGGCCTGGGGCGGCAGGCCTCCAGGCGAGGCCCCTGGAGGCCTCCGGGAGTAGGAGGAAGAGCTCGAGGAGCAGCAGGAGGAGGAGTAGGAGGAGGAGCAGGAGGAGGAGGAGGAGGAGGAGGTTAGGTTGGGACAGCCCCGAGGGGAAGAGACTCGCAAGTCAACGACGAAAAAGGTCGGTGGCACCGCTCAGAGAGGGATTTATTATCCTGGAGGACAGAGCTCCCCACACTCTGACCAGGGCCCGCGACAGGGTGCCACGACCTGAAATCACTCTCGAGATGGATACAGCAGGCGGTCGGCAATCGGCGGGGAGCGTCGGGAGCGAGGCGGGCAGAGGAAGAAGGCACGCGCGAGGCGAAGGACGGCCAGAGAGCCGGAGAGGGGCGAGCGAGCCCACACTCGGGCCGTGTAGGTCTAAGTCTACATGCACGTGCCGAGACACGAGGTCCGCAATCCAGGGCGAGCGTGAGGGCGGAGCCGTGCATGGAGCCCGAGGGGAAGCCTGGCAAGGATGAGGGCGAAGCGCGCAGCGTCACAAGTCACTCGAAGCAAAGCCAGGTGCACGCTGGCTGAGGAGACGAATGGCTGAGTAGACGAACGCGTGTTGAGACCCTGAAGGCGCGAAAGCGGCGCGGAGGCGAGGGGTCGTGAACAGGAGGAGCGACGACCAGAGTTGCGGCCGGGTGGGCAAGCGACACGTCGAGGAGCGCCGCGGGCGGGTCGAGGACAAAATGACCTGCGATCGGGGGGGGGGGGTCCAGGGAGAGGTTGCCGACCTTGCCGAGGAGCAGCACCCTGAGCCCAGCGCCGCCAGGCCAAGCCGCGCAGCGCAGGCAGCACGCGGGCTGCGGCCAGAAGACGGGCAGGGCCGCCGACGCCAAGGCGGCGCCGGCGGGGGGGAGGGGGGGGGAGCGGGGGGAGCGGGAGGAAACGGCGAGGGGGCGCCGGAGAGCGCCCACCGCGCCGAGAGCATAGCTGTATAGCCCAGGTGATCAGAGGGCCCGGGTACGCGGCCAGGGGAGGAACAGGCAGCAACTGAGCACCAGGGCGGCAGGAAGCCTGAACAGCGTGCGAATGGGACGCGAAGCGCGTGAGCGTCGCAACCCCAGGTCTGCGGCGGCCCACCCCCAAGCAGCCACCGCTTCGAGAGCGCAGTCCAGGTGATCAGGGGCCCCTCAGTACGCGGCCACGGGAGAGACGATCAGCAACTGAGCACCAGCGTGGCGAATAAACAGGACCAGCTGGGGAATAGGACATTAAGCACGCGAACGTCACAGTTCCAGGCACACTGTTCTGAGAGCGCAGTCCAGGTGATCAGGGGAGGCACGATCATCGACTGAGACAGACATCGGGCTTGCATCCAGCCAAGGGAGCCGATCATCGACTGAGCACCAGGCTGGCCAAAAGCCGTGGCAACGTGGGAATGGTTCATGAAACGCTCGAGCGTGACCAGCTTCAGGCCCAGGGAGCCCCACCCCCATGTGCCGTAACACGCAGTGTTGAAGTGACCACGACCACGAAACTGAAACCGCTACCGGCCCCAGGACCAGTTAGGCCCAGTCGCAAACAACGGTGTGGCGCCGCGAGGCATGCAACGACCCACGTGCACCAGGACCAGCACGGGCTGGAAGCGCACAACCAGCACCAGGCACAGGAGCAGCGAGAGCAGGGGAGAAGCGAGCGCCAAGAGCCCAGTCGCGCGCGGGATGGCGCTGCTGCCGGGGCGCTCGCGGGCGGGGCTGCGGCCAGTGCTGGCGCCAGCAGGAGCAGGACCGCCGCGTGCGAGGGGGTTCTCGGGGGGGGAACATACACCAGGCGTGTCCTTTGTACTGCCCGCCTCCGAGCACGTCCGGCTTCAGCCTGGCACGGGTCTTCGGGGCGGTGGAGCACCTGACCCGCTCCCGGCGCGCCACGCCACGCATGCCAGATCGGCTGGCGGCTTGCTTGCTGCTGCGGACCTCCCGGGGGCCCTCCTCTCGCGCACGCGCGCTGCGCTTGCCTGGCTGCCTGCGCCGGACGTCGTCAGGGCCCGGGGCACGGGGAGCGTCGGCCGCCATGCGCCATGCATCAGCGCGCGAGAACGGCAAGGGCCGCCGGGAGCGGCCCCGGGAGGAGAAGGAGGAGGACGACGACGAAGAAGAAGCAGAAGCAGAAGAAGAAGAAGAAGAGGAGGAAGAGGAGGAGGGGGAGGAGGAGGAGCCAGGGCGGGCGACGCACACGATGGCGCGGGCGGGACCGGGGCCGGGGGAGCCGTGCGCACCGCTTCCCCTCTCCCCAGCTGGGGCCCCCCAGTCTTGGTATCGCTCGGACGTGTGCATTTTTTCGGCTAGGACCATCGAGGCGCATCCTTGAACATCTGGCAAAACAACAACAACAACAACAACAACAACAACAACAACAACAACAACAACAACAACAACAACAATCACTTTACCCGAACGCTCAGTGTTCTCACCAGTGCCAGGGTTTTCATGCGACGCCAGCCAATACCCCCACTTTGTGGGGGGGCAGTGCAAGCTCTACCAAATATCCACACGACTCTTCGCCACCACCCACACCCAGCTTCCCGCCCTATGACGTTCGGACACTTCACTTCGTGGCCTGCGGACGACCGTGGCTACTACACTGGCGTGGAGTACACACCCACAGAAGTTGTTAGGACAGCGCGCGCGGGTAGAAATTTTGAAAAGTCGTGCAGGTGTTTTTCGAGGACCTACGGTGCGATTCGTGTGATTTTATGATGCGCGGTGCTAAAATTCTTAAGAAGCCCAATGGTTTTTGGAGATTTCGGCGTGCGCGCGCGAAGAAAAAACGAATGTGTCCCGCATGGTATTATTTGACAGGGATGATGGCCCTGGCAGGTGCGCAACCGTTGTCGCAGAAGTTCGAAAAAGTTGCTCGCAAAAGCCCGTTTGACAGAAATGTTTAAAATGTTTAAAAAGTGTTGGGTTTCCTACGAATCCGCAAGAGCGCGCGGGATGAGATTTTGACAATTTTTTGTTGAAAAACCATTGGTTTTTTGATGTTTTTATGTTAAAATCGCTGCGAACACTAAGGTTTTGGAAGGATTTCGTCTTGCGCGCGCGAATGTCCACTTTACCTTATTTTTTGCAAGGGATTCTTGAAATTTGATTATATTAGAACAAGAAATGTCATTTTCTATTGTTTTTTGCAAGGGAAAGCGGATTACAACAAAACAACCGGATCCTGTACACACCCTCTTTTCTGAGGCTTCCTCACGAAAATGATGAAAATGTAGCTGCGGCCTAGGCGGCGCAGGGGGGGCGCGCACCAGGGGGCCCAACAATAATTATTCTTTAGAATAAATAATGTTCAACAACAACAACAACAACAACAACAACAACAACAACAACAACAACAACAACAACAACAACAACAATCATTTTACCCGAACGCGTGGTGTTCTCCCCAGTGCCAGGGTTTTCATACGACACCAGGCAATACCCCCACTTCGTGGGGGGGCATTACAAGCTCTACCAAATATCCAAACGACTCTTCGCGACCACCCAAACCCAGCTTCCCGCCCTATGACGTTGGGACACTTCACTTCGTGGCGTGCGGACGACCGTGGCTACTACACTGGCGTGGGGTACACACCCACAGAACTTGGTCACTTATTCGGGGCGCGCATGTGCCCAGCATGGTGCAATTGTGCCATACAATACATAATACGAAGAGACGAATGTGTCCCGCATGGTATTATTTGACAGGGATGATGGCCCTGGCAGGTGCGCAACCGTTGTCGCAGAAGTTCGAAAAAGTTGCTCGCAAAAGCCCGTTTGACAGAATTGTTTAAAAAGTGTTGGTTTTCCTACGAATCCGCAAGAGCGCGCGGAAGAACATTTTGACAATTTTTTCTTAAAAAACCATTGGGTTTTTGATGTTTTTATGTTAAAATCGCTACGAAACCTAAGGTTTTGGAAGGATTTCGTCTTGCGCGCACGAATGTCCACTTTACCTTATTTTTTGCAAGGGATTCTTGCAATTTGATCAAGTAAGAACAAGAATTTTCATTTTATAGTGTTTTTTGCAAGGGAAAACGGATTACAACAAAACAACCGGATCCG